TCACTAGAGCATCCTCAAAGGACCTTTTCCCCATCCTCTTGAGGTGCAACTCATCTCTTGCCAGAAGTCCATTGGCATGAAACCGGGTGCCATGATCACCACCACACACATGCACGAAGCCCCATTCCTAACTCCTTTGAAAACCTTTTGGGGACTTGAGCATTTGACGGAACAGAGGAATAAGCCCAAATGCCCTTCCTTCGCCAGTCCTCTCCCTTCCCAAGCAACAGCAGCAAGTTTTTGAGGCAAAACTTGTGCCATTTTGAGCTGGATGCAAACTCAAAAGGGTCCAGACCCATAATGGAGTATAGGTGTTTTTAAATTTAGGGAACTCTGAATCTAGAATTCTAAAATTCAAAATTAACTCTATCATTACAGGTAAATGGTAGAAAAGATCTGAAAAATCAAATGCATAGAGTGGAATATTAAAACCTCAACTTTAAAAAAAAGTTTATTATGCGCATAATACTTTTAGCATGATTACTAAGTCTAGACTGTGCCTGGAATCTTTTGCAATACTTCTCTAGGTGCAGCTCTTTCCATGTGGTGACAAGGGAAACTGCTTGGCAGAGCTCTTCAGTGCATCCTTTTAAAAATGTGAGGGCATTCCTGGCATCTCTGTGTGTCCTGCCAGCTCCAGGGAGACTGGGCATTGCTGTTGTCCCACTGCATCTTTTATGGAGGAGTTGGGTTAAAGCCCCTCTCCCCACACACCATCCTAATCAAGATCACTTCTTCCTTGTCACTAATAGAAGCAGGGAAACAGCACTCTGGCTCAGGACTGCTGGGGTGGGGAAGGTTTAAGTCTCCTCTGCAAGGATCCTGGTTACTGAAAGTTTGGGAGAGTAAAAGATTGTGTGCATGTGTGCCCTGGGGCCACCCATTGCCACCCATTCCCCCACACCCAGTGAGTTGCCTTACCCTTGTCTTAAAGCTGCAGCTTCCCTTTTCACCTAGACCTTGCAACTCTACTTTTTAGGTAATGGAAAGTATTTTTCAAAGTTGACAGCATGACACACTATTTAAATAAGGAAACTGGACAAACAGAACAAACATAATCACCATTGTAGATTACCTTCTTTTGAATGTACTGAAATCAACAGAATGAACACAGAGAGGAATTAAATAAGTATGCTGGGAATCATCTTGATGGACACTTTTGCTAGCATCTTACAATGCCTTATATATCAAACAGACATTTCTCTCATCAGTTGCTTAACCACAACATTTGATATAGCAACATGAAGAGGGGGGGAAAGATGCAATCACATGCAAATTAACAATTTAATGTTATTTTATTGGGGGGCCCTCGACCTGAGTCTAAGCCAGACCAGTGGATTCCTCTGGTCAGACGGCTGGAAATTCCATGGGATGAAGTCATGCTGGTGGTCTCCCAGTCCATCTTCAAGTGAGCAGCAGCACCGCAAAGCACCTTAATGAATGCGGCCACCCATGCTGGGCACTGTTAAATATGCATTTCAGTAACAAATTAAAACATACTCCCTCAAATGAAATCAAAGGGCTCATTCTCTCAGCCAAGGTAAGTACAACTTTAGGAAGGATTAGTCAGCTCCAAACATCTAGTTGCTACACACCACCCACTTCAGCAGCAAATAGACATTAAAAAAGAAGGAAAGCTTCATGAGGACAAAGTGGTGCACCATTCATTCTGCCCATCGCTCTTTTCAGAAGCAAATAAATAACTGTTTATCTGTTTCTAAAGTGTGATTGTCAACTGGGTTTTTCCCACTGGCTAATTCAGACTGGGAGGGGACCAGGCACGCCAAGGATATAACATGGTGTTCCACTGCAAAAGGAATGAAAGAGGCTCTGGCCCTCGTCACGAACACCCAAGTGAATGGCCCCCAACCTGTCTTTCACAAGGGCCCGGCAATTGGTATGCCAGGCAATACTGCTGAAGGGCTAAATTGGTCCCAGCAACTACTGACCCCAACACTAAAGTGAGTTGCAGCAGGGGCAGTTTCCAAGCCACCGGGCAAAGCATGGCCCATTCTAGGATTCCAAGGTGGTTTGGAATCACCCACCCTCACTGGGTTCGGACAACACAGCAACCAGAGTTGAGCACAGACAATTATGGAAAGGGATGGCATGGAACTGGCACAGGCAGGGAAAAGCAGCCACTGTGACAATAACTATTTTGTGAATTGTGCAGGAGATATGCCCCAGCAGCCCGTCCTCCAACTGGAATTTCAAAGAGGTAGCATTTTAAGAGGGGATTCTAGGAAGCTGATGCCAAGAGCCTCCTCATTTGTTTTTTGTTCTTGTTGCAGATGTGAGGAAATTAAATTCTAGTTATGTCAATCACAGCACTGCAACTTCCCAGAGCAAGTCAAAGGATGGTGTCACACTCTAGACTACAGAGATGGTATGTAGTGAAGCTCAGGCCTTTAGGAAAACCTGTTATTAAAATGATGTGGGTAATGTTGGGGGTAGAAGGAATCAAGTTGGTGAAAGTGGCCTAAAATAATAAATACGCACACTTTCTTTAAACACAGCTTGCCACATCCTGGGAATCTGGAATCAATTCCTTCTCTTTCAAGATGCTTAAAAGTTGTGGAACTTTGATATGGCAGAAATGTGTTTGCTTCTGGGCTTACAGCCCTAGCCAGCCTGCTTCAAACCTTTCAACTTATATATTTTAAGGCAGCAAAGCTAGCCAAAAAGGGGGGTAGTACATCATTTACCATAAATATCAAATGAACAAGACATTTTGCCTTTGGCTGTTACTTCCTAAGAACATAAGAGCATAAGGAAAGCCAGGCTGGGTCTGACTCAAGGTCCATCTAGTCCAGCACTCCATACATGGAGGCAAACCAGCTGCCCACTGGATGCAAGGCCTCCTCCTGTCCAAGCTCCTCAGCAGCTGGTGGATGCAGGCATGCTGCCTGTGGTAAAGGAGGCAGCACACGGCCAGCAGGGCCAGTAGCCACTGATACCCTCATCCCTCTGCCCAGTCCCCCTTTAAAGCCATCCAGATTGGTGTCTGTCACCACGTCCCATGGCAGGGAATTCACCTTTTAATTATTCCTCTTCCTCCTCTTTCTCCACACCATGCATTATTTTAAACACCTCTATCATGTCTCCCCTTCCTCGCTGATTTCCTAAGCTGAACAGTCCAGTTGTTGTAGCCACTCCTCAACAGGGAGCTGCTCCAGCCCCCTGATCATTTTTGTTGCCCCTCTCTGTGCCTTTTCCAACTCAACAATGTCTCTTTTCATCTAAAACAGCCAGAACTGAGTGCAGTATTCCAAGTGTGGTCACAGCAACGATTTGTATAAGGGAAGTAAGATTTTGGCAGTTCTATTTTCTATTCCCTTCCTAATGATGCCTAGCAGGGAGCAGCTGAGCCCTGGGATGACATTTATCGCCCTCACAGAATATAGAGGCAAGAAGGAGAGTGCATTGGAAAGGTGTTGAGCAATGCCTTGTCTCTACAGTACACACTCTTCTTTGGAATATTCAAGTCCCTTCCTTTATATATTCTAATAATGTTAGTAGAAGTCCAAAAGGGAAAAAAATGCAAACCCACACATGCTTAGCATAGGGCAAAATATAGACAAATACCTAGCATTTTTGAACTTTAAAGCCAGCTTCTGCTAGCTCCATGCCTGATCTGTACTAGAGGATGCTGCCTTTAAACCAAAAATGGCCAGTTTGCATTATCGATCATGGGAGAAAAGAAGCCATGGTAGCTCCCTTCCCTTCCCTTCCCTTCCCTTCCCTTCCCTTCCCTTCCCTTCCCTACTCAGTGGCCCCATTACGCTCATAGCTCACAGCTTCCCATGCCACCTGAACACAGTTAAGTGCATAGCTGGTCAGCTCTTTAGTTCCATTTCAGAACCATATAACTAGCTATGAGTTCTGGGTGGGTTTGAGATCATCCCTGCTGTAGGAGTCAGGAAAAGACTCGTTGCCCCCAACCCCATTATTGTATGAATCCAACCACTGTTTCCCTATAGCCCAACCTGATCCCCGTCCTGCACCCCTGCTATTAGCCATACTGGTTAGCAAACGTTTGGGAGTGTTACAGATACCTGAATTTTTCCCTAGGAGGGGCAAATAGCAACTTTTAGAGTGATGACAGCTTTCACCTATCAAACAGATTAGTTGTGAGAATCCAGATTTCTGGATTCTCTGAGCTTCACTTGAGATACTTTGAGCACAATATTTTCCCAGCTTCCAATGTAATAGTTGTGCTTTCTACAGAGAAAAGTGTCCTACCCTGATCTGCTAGTTTTCTATTTGAAGAGATTTTCCATGAGAAAATATCCAACAAATCAGACCACTGTTGACTAAAGCCAGACTCCAGCCCATCAAAGGGTGTCAGTTTCCTCATAGATCTGCCTGCCCTCATCTGTTTAGAATCATACAGTTGGAAGGGACCCTGAAGGTCATCTTGCCCTTGCCCAACCCCTGCTTAAGGAAGATCTACAATACAGGATTTAACTAAAGCATCCCCAACAACACCCAGTTTGTCTACATCCTTTTTACATCTTGTGTCCTTTTGCATGGGTGCTCATTTTTCAAGAAGTCCTTTTGAGCTTAGAAAGTAAAAACCTAAATCTAAAGTAGTGAAGATTTTTCATGAACAAACAAAATAAAAATACAGTTTCTAAACAGTCTATGTACTGGGAAATTTAATACCATCTAGATCCCAGTATCTGCCTCGGGTACAAAGGCTACATGGATCAGCTAAAGATGTCTAGAACTGATCATTTGCCACAGCAAAACAATTACTATACTGAACTCCGCAGTCTTGAAAAGGTAAGTGAACGGGAGTTTGGCCTAGTAGCTGGAAGTAAGGACAAGGAGGGGGGATCTTTCCCGTGGCAGGCAAAAGGGCTGGGGCATGTCTTTGGGACAAAAATTTGCCTCTTAAAATTGGGCACATTCCACAGAAATGCACTTGACACAGAGGCAGGATAGAACCAGTAAGTATTGGGAAAGACATAATCAAAATGATTCACCGGAACACTTACTGTTATTGTCCTGTTGCTTCACATTTTTTATATATGCAGAAAATTTGGAGAATATATCTATGCCTGCAATGTTTGCTTCTCGGTGTTTGGCAGCAAGCTTGGGGTACCTACAAAAAGAGAAGCATAGCCTTCAAAATAGGGTTCTCCATAAAATAAAAACAAACACAAATTCCTAAAGACACATTTTGTTCATTGCAAGTTCTGTGGGCGACACGGAATAACATTTGTGGAGGCAAGTGCTGGCTTTAAAGCTCTTATTGCAGCATGCCAGTCTGACGGGACTCTGCTGACTATCACAGCTTCCGCAGGGAGGCAAGAACGTGTAAAGTTGCTATGGTTTTGTGACAGGCACTAAGGAGCAGCGACAGCAAATCAGTAGAAGTTGCCTTGTCTCAAAAGATGTGGGGGAGTTTGGCAGTAAGCAACTTCTCTTCATCCTGTGTGGAGACCACGTGTGCTGCCACTGTGGAGAAACCTATCCAAGACAGAGTAGCGCTTTTCAGCATAACAACGGAGAGAACAGTGTGGGGTTCCAAGTATGTGTGCTCTCAAAGAAGCATGTGATGAAAGGCAGGCTATGGAGCTGGGAAGCAATAACACATCAGTGCTGCCTACTGCTGAAAAGCACACAGCGATTCTTTGAAAGATTCCTGCTGCTTTCTGTGGGCCAAGGATCAGAATCTCAAAAGAGCAGCCAAGTCTCAGTGGAAGAAGCAAAGGCTTTAGAACAGGCCTGTACAATCTGCAGTCCAGGGAGCCGAGTGCATCGTCAGAGCTCAGGGCTGCCGAACTGGCCAGAGGAAGAGGCGCCAAGGCTCCTGGCAGACCACAGTACAGCATGGCCTGGTGAGAGTCACTTCGGCAACCATGTGACCATGTGTACGGCAGGCCTGCAGGAGCCATCCCACCGTGCTCCCGGCAAAGGGGAGAAATTGTGTCCTTGGTTCCTTGGTGCTGGGCCTGCTGTGCTTCAGCTCTGACGCTCTAAATCTGCGGGTAAGCAGGTGTGTGTGTGTTGAGGGAGGGGATCATGCAGATGGTGCAACTGAGGCCCAAGCCCATGGGGCTCAATTTGAAATGGGGCTGCCTGAGCTGGAGATATGTAAGAAGTGGTGGTCCCATGGCCAGGAAACTGTATTCTGGCCCTCATCTCAAGCACAAATGATGGGTGCTGGAGGACAGAAGGAAAGAGAAGGCAGGCTTTAGAATCATAATTGTATTCCATCTGGCTAGCCAGAAGGCAGGAAACTAAGCATAACAAAGAAACAGGTATAGGAATATCAGTGTGTACTCTACTTTTCTATTTTTTGCTTGGCAATTATCATTTTAAGAAATCTTTTAAAAGTATATAATTTGTTACTTTGGAGGTGAAAGCGTCTCTTCCAGAAATTCCTCAATTTTGTTAACGTCTGTCTTGACTTCCCCATTAAAAGTCAGAAATGGTGGGTGGGTCCCAGGAGCTAAATTATGTAAATCAGCTGGCTTTCTGCAGGACAAGAAGACAAGGTAAAATTTTACTAATCACACAAGCAATCACTGGCCACATTATCCTCCTTGGTTTTGCAATATGAAGGAGGTCACCCTTCCCCCTCTCGTCCTTTTACTATTGCATATAACATCTCAATGAACCCATCTAGGAAGCAAAGTAAGGCTTTCCTATTGGTATGAGAAAACCAAGATTCACAACAGTCAAGGGAAGCATTTGACTACTGCCCACTGTAAGAACGTTTGTGTCAACACGGATCAAAATGATAAAACCCATTATCTCTTATCAAATAAATGCAATCAAGAAGTTTTACCTTTTCAGGTCAACTGTGGTAACGTTGAACACAACTCCTTTGAGCCAAAGTATCATGAAGAGACGCTGTGAGAAAGGACAGTTTCCAATGCTTTCTCCATCTACACCAGCCTAGAGGAAATATGAAATAACAAGAGAATGGGCAGCTCTTTAGGAGTTAATCTCAGGAGAGAGAGAAAGTGGATTTTGCAATAAGTGACCAACTCCATTTTGGGCACAAACATCAAAATTCTTCCTTCCAAACATAACAGTATCTTCCAAATGTTGTAACAGAAGTATTAGTTCAGTCACTTCCAAGTATTATGTTAAAAACTGAATATTTAAGAACAAGATCTGACACAGAGCATTTTTAAGACTTAAAGGGTTTGGCTCTCAACCTCTTAATTAACAATGTGTATACAGGCAAAACTCAAGTACATCAAAGTTCTTCAACTTTCAAAGTTCATCCACTTTGAAATTTGTTCGATCTCATGTCTGTATTTGACTGTGATTGTGACAGGGTTCCTTTTGGATGAAAATTTTTGTGTCTCTATGTGCACCTTTCTAGATATATGCATCAATTGTGCCTATCTTTGAAATGTATGCACTTTTCCTCTATTCATTAAAATGCGATTATGTGCACTTTTCAAAAGTATTCATTTTTTCATGCACACTTTTCAGCTCTGCAAATGCTGTTGAATACCTTGTTTTCGGATCCATGCATCACATTGCAAGCTTGGAAATGTATGGACTTCGGTTGCAGATTGTATGAGAGTCCACATACATTCCAGAAGATGTGCACAGGTAAATCCAAAAATGATCTGAAATGAGTTTCTCATAGATGCCTCCTCTTAGGCACATTCTGTTCAGTTCTATAAAGAGTTAAACTGATGACACATTAGACTTCAGATACGAATGGAATTTGTCACTTTCCATCATTTAAAGCACAGAGGAGTATCATGACTTCTGCTCAGTCCACTTGTCAAGGTCCTACAAGGTTCAAAGCTTATCCAATCCTACTTGTGAAAAGCCTGATTGCCTCCATTTCATCTCCATACTTCTGTTTTGTCTCTCAATTGCTTATGTGGGAAGAACAAGAGCACCTTGTCTTCTGTACTGACACAGGAGAGTGAGTTCTATTCTTCAGTATCTGGAACTCATGGGCCAGAAGCACCTGAATGCTGATGTGATAGGAAGAACATCTTAAGACTCATTAATAGACAATGCTGTTATTTGTGATTTTCCACCTACTATCAAGCATACCCATCTAAGTGTTCCCTTTTTTGGCAATTCCACACTATTTCACAGGCATCTGTACACCTTTCAGGAGTCACTCTAGATCTTGATTTCTAAATGATCTTGGATCCCTGAACTCAGTGTGCTTTTCAGATGTCCAGTGAGTTTGCTGGACATTGCCCAGTATTGTTCTTTCTCACAGCATCTGTCCCAGTATTCCTCTGTCCTGCCAGGTGGCAGCTGTGCCATGGCCAGAGAAGGCCTGTTCTTTCTTGCCTTCTGGAGCTGACCAGTCCCCAGGAACTTACTTTTCAGCAGCCATATGAAAGGAAAGACAAAACATTGCTCCCAAAAATCAAATATAAAATATCCATCAAATACACAATATTGAAAAATATAATTGTTCACTGAATACAGATACCAAACATTTAACAAGTATTTGCCATTCACAGAATAGCCAAAGAGTATTTGACATCCCAAATTTCAGGGAATTTTGTGGAGGTCATTAAAAACCAGTTCTTGGTTTCATGATCCTATCAGTCTTATGACACAAAAAGACCACACAGCACAGTGGACTGTCATTGATTTGTCATCCCATTCCATTCCATTTTTCAGCACTAAAAATTTGTGCAAATATGTAAGTTAATTTTTAAAAAGTTTTTAGTTGGTCCTGCACAAGTGTAGAGGTGAGTACTGGCAGAAGTGCAAAATGGAAAGTCTTGGAGGGGTGCTGTCTTGGAGGTGTCTGCTGTCAAAGTGGAACAGGCTTTGGCTACCAACATTCACCCCAAAATGCTACAATTAGGGTTTTTTTAAACTGTCTGCTGTTTTGACAGCTGTCAAAGAAAAGCAAAGATATAAAGAATCCTTGCTCACAAAAGGGAAGGGTGAATAGATCACCCCCCCCCCTTTATGGTGAAATCCTCTAGTTTATTTGTTTCTGTTGGGCCTGACTGTTCTCAGGGTCCTGCAGCTTTTTCTTTCCTCATGGGAAAGTGCCTTCATCCAATCTATTAGATATGTCAGCTTTCCCATGTCCCTAGTTAAACCCTTTCAGTTCTAAAGTAATTTTCAAACACTCCATTTCCATGTTTCCTAAGCTTGACAATTCAGCTTAAGGGAAGAACTACTTTGGCACTAATGAAATCACTCCCAGCTTCAAGTTTTGCAGAGCCCTTGAGCAGCAGGGACCAACGCCCTCCAAGTCCACCTTCTTACTAGCATTGCCGCCACCTGCTGTTGCTCCTTCTCTTCCGTACAATTGCTGACATCTGCTTGCTGGCCACCAGCAAAGAGGCAGGGGCTTCTACTGTTACTCCATCACTGCTACCATTGTCTGGGCCAGAGTGAAAGGTAAGTCAAAAGGCGGCTTGTAACAGCGAAGAGGCAGAGCAGGCAGCAGCTGCAGAATTATGCCAACCGGTCTTGAGCATTGAGTGAAATAATTTGTGGCTTTGGTTTAAAGATCTCTTAGCAAGTTGTTCAAATGGCCTCTCAGCTGAAAGAAATGAACAAAGAAATGTGGCTATGTCATACTCCCTGGTATAGCCATGTATGCAGAGAAAAAGTGCATCGTGCCTGTCAGTTGCAATTCTGCTTTTAGCTTGCTTTTGTGTGCTAAGAGAAATGGTGTGAGAAGGCTGGTGGCTTTGGGTGCTTATTCTTAAGGACCGCTGACTGGGATTCATCAGAATCAGAATGTCAAGCAGATCAAGGAGAAGCTGAGGGGGATGAGTCGTGCCATGACTCTAAGATAGGAAAGAGGTGGACACATTTATCTCAAGGACACACATCAGGTGGGAAGACAGTTCCTGGAAATAGTCAAGGTATACAGCAGGTGGGACGGGACCCTGAACAGGGGAGTTTCTTAGTCATAGACCAGGCAGCTGCAGCTCTTGACCCCATGATGAGGCATCAGCAGAGAGGGGTAGCCCAGTCAGAGGACTGGTGCATGGAGAGAAGGCGTACTTGCTTGCAGAAGCCCCCCGCCCCACCCATGGGATGGGGTCCAGGCATGCTCATAAGGAGGGTTCCTCAAGGTGATCACTACATTGGGTTCAACAAACTGCTCTGTCCATGCTCAGAGAAATGTTCTGGGTGCTTTTGGGTCAATAAAGAATGCTTTGCAAGGTAAAAGGTATGTGGCTTCTGAATGCTTGAAGGAGGAATCTCAGCTAACAAAAATGGTTAGTACCGCCCATCTGGTAGCAGTGCGAAATAAATTTAAATGGTTTTAACCATGTGAATATGCTTCCCATTTCAATGTGATTTGGTTTTACAGTGGTACCTCGGCTCACGAACACCTCAGTTCATGATCAAATCAGGTTGCAAACAGAAATTTCATAAAAATTTTGCTACAGATCGTGAACTCTGCATCAGGTGACGGTCACGAGCGTGCCCGCCTTCCCTGCACGGGCGCGTGGGGGGGGGGGGGAAGGTGGCTGTGATCATGCTGGGGGGGAGATTGTGCCCGTGTTCCCTGCCCGAGTGCGCCACGCCCGCCTCCCCCCCAGTGTGCCCATGCCTGCGCCTGTCTCCCCCCTCCCAGCATGCCCACGATCACACCCATCTCCCCCCACCCACCCCTGCACGATCACTGCAGCGGGGAGATAGCCGCGATCTTTGTCACTTTGCTTCAAATTTTTGTGAGTAAAAAAAATAGTTGCAGACCAGATTAACCTTATTTACATTGACCCTTATGAGGAAATCTGACTTGGCTCACGACCAATTTGGGTCACGACCAGAGTCCTGGAACGGATTAAGTTCATGAGCCAAGGTACCACTGTATGTTGTTCAACAGATTATGCTGCCCCTTTATAAACCTGATAAGAAGCCTGAGCTTTGACATCATCCAAAGGAGAAGTAAAACCCAACCTAAGCCTCTGAATAGCCATCCATCCATGTTATTAATCATACTGCACAAATGGCACATTACAGCATTGTAAGTAATATGCATAGACTGAAAAATGGGATTGCTGCCCAGATGACTATGCTTTGGTGAGGAAGTGTTTTCATCCATGATTCCAGTATCTCTCCTTTCATGATTATTAGTCAAATATAAAAGGCAGCATGTTATTTTGAGGAAGTACCAAGGAGGAAAAGAGAAAAGTGTTTTTTCTTTGGTGTAGTAGCAATGCAGCTCAAAAGTTTACAAGACAGCAAGATGAGCAGCTTTTCTTTGTTCCCTTCCCTCACTAGTATGGAGATATTCATGCCCACTGCCTGCCACTAGAAGGCATTTTTGCATCGTGTACTCTCTTCCATTACTGTTTTCAGAGTGTGTTATGTTTTTAGCCAACTATCAGCCATCCCTTTATTACAAGTTTGTGGCCTAGCATGGACTAATGGTTTGCAGCTCTTTGCCTCATGACCAGTTATGTGGTGTGACTCCATTTGGTGCAGGTACACACAACTGAATCCTAAATGGAAATAACTAAAATTGGAACCTCATCCCCTCCTCAAAGCATCATGTCATACTCTAGATACCCATCGGTAATGATATTGATTAGTAAAAGTGATCCAGGAAAAAGTGATCCAGGCATTGTACAATGGAGCAGGCACAGAAAAATTGCAACTCAAAATCTTCTTTAATGAAAGCAAAGGTACATACAAGTTCCCAGTCAGTTGATGGAAGGATCCTGGTCACTCCGTGCTTCCCACAAATACACATATCAGCCAAGACAGGTCAGCATCTTGAATGCTAGACTGGGCAAGCATTTATAAAGTGAAAAGACGGTGGGCCAGTTCACACAGCTCAAAAGCCCTTGGTGGCTCCTTCACCTGGGTTTCCCACTATGATCAGTCATAGTGGTGTGCCTTGATCTTTCTCCTCCTATCTCTTTGCCCTCCCCACTCACCCACAGGACACTGCAGAATACCTAAGGGGAGCAGAATGAGGATGTCAGCTGCCAAAGAGTGCCCAAGCAGGACTTTTGGACCGCTGTCAGAGGCAGAGTCAAGCTGTCTTCTGCTGAGCTGTCTTGAGAGCCAAGTGGCAGCAGCCCCAAGAAAGCAGGAAAGGATAAGTAGGTTTGTGCCAGGCTCCCCTTCTAAGAGACCCCACCACTGCTGGGGAACCTCTGACACTTGGTGTGGGAATGTCTCAGCAGCTGCGGGTTGCCTTGTGAGTCATGCCTGCCCAGCCACTCTGAGGATACTCTGGAGCACTGTCCTTCAGCTTAGCTAAACTCATGGTATAATACATCGTGGCACAGAAATACATTTCTGGACTTGAATAAATGAATTCAGAAATTCCCAAAGAGGGGAAACTCTGGGGTTTCCTGTAAAACAATTATTTTGAAATGAATTTTAATATTTTGAACATTCTGGTAGAGGTGAGTGATTTGTCACACAAGACATCACAGCCCATCCTGCCTTCCTTGTGCCCCTAATGTTAGAGAAGACAGGAGAGCCTACTACAAACAGCGCACATACTGTCATTTCATTCCACTCACTCATATACAGAATCAAAACAGCCGTGAATCCTGCAGGAAACAACACAATTTTCAGTACATATTCTCTGCAAATCACACACATGCAGGTTTCCTGTGAAATAATGGGTTGAAACTCAAGAGAAAAGAGCCAGGTTTTGTTCCGACACAGACTTGGCTCTGTGCAATTTTACATATCAAGCTGTTGTGCTGCACACACCTCCTGTTAACTGCACCCTTGGCAGTCTGCAGATATGAGGCTGTTGGTGCATTCTCTGCCCTGATGATCGGCGCGGCAGTGGTCCAGTGGGGGCTGTACTTCCACCACCACCCCTTTCCAAGTGCCTCCAGCCACATTACGTGCACTTTGCAACTACTTAAGGCCTCAGAGGCTTCTGTTTTGGAAAAAGAATGTAAAGCAACATGGAATCACTCTCAGACATCACATCAGCTTCCAAGAAAGACATTCAACAGCTGCTACCCACCAACACTTGGCCACTTCTCCCCCCAACTCTGCAGCATCACTTTGAAAGCCACAGAGCCTCAGGTAAAGATAGTTGTGGGACATTCAGACCAGCCCCAGAGGCAAGCTCCTTACTCTTGGCTCCCATTAGCAGACCTGTGTGGGAGTCATACTTCGCTGTAGCAAAGGAACAGTAAATGGCTAATCTATAGCACAGCAGCAGTTTCTGGACTGGAAAAAGCCATGACGCAAAGTAGGTGATTGAACATAATCAAATGCAAAGTCTAGTGTTGGGTTGGGAGCTGTGATCATTCACCATGGTTCGCTCTTTCACCTGAGATCAGACAGCACGGGAACACACATTGCAGCAATAACCCGTGCTTCAATTACAAGCCACACTCAACCCAGCATGAGGGGCATGCCCTATGAACGCCACCCCTGTCATGATCAGCTGTGGGAATTGGTGTCCCAACGGCAATATGAAAAAGTGTAGCACAGCAGTAGGGACAAAACTACAGCCATTTTTACAAGGTGCTCAGCAACATCCTCACCCCTACTGCCTCTGCAACAGCAGGGATGATGACGACGACGACAACGACGACGGCTATTTTACAGTTATATACTGCTCGTAGTCAAAGCTCTCTGGGTGACTTACAAAAATGCTTGGATAATGTGACTTAACTCACTTTTGCAAAAGAACAACCTGCAGGCCTCTCTATTCATTTGCACAACATGCTTTGATATCATTTATTTATTTATTTTTCAATTTATATCCTGCCTTTTTACTACAAAAGGCTCAAGGCAGCTTACATTATTCTCCTCCTCCATCTTATCCCCACAACAACAACCCTGTGAGGCAGGCTGGGCTGAGAGTCTGTGACTGGCCCAAAGTCACCCAGTTGGCTCCATGGCTGAGCGGGGACTCGAACCCGGATCATCTGAGT